GGTCAAAATCTCGCAAGGCTGCCACACATTCACTCTTTATAGGTTCATTTACAAAGTTAGTCAATCTCTTTCCTTGATCCTTTTAATCAAACAAAAAATAGTAAGCAGGAAGGAACAATATGAATAGAAATTACCTCCATTCCTCCATCAATCTGGTTGAACTCTCTCATTGGCTCATTCAGACTATGTAATTTCAAGATCTGTAATCTCATTGGTCCCTATTTTGAGCTTGGCTAAAACTGGCTACTTGGATTTCACAGATGCAAAATTTGGATTAATGTACGAGAAGCCCTGAAATTCTTCTTGGTCCAAGTTTTGAATCACTTCCTGGTCAGGAGGGGTCAGGACGGGAGGATGACGGGTGAAAAAACGATCAAAGTTCTCTGCGTCTCGACCGCACTGTGGAGAAGACGAGAGAAGAGAGATGTGGGATGGGAAAATAATGGTACGGCGTGAGCAAACAAATGAGGAATTAATGACAAATGGAAGCTTCAAATGTGGCAAAATAACTGAAAAAAAATATTCAGACGTGTGATAATAGTAACAGTCTTAATTGAGTGAATGTGTAATGATAGAAAATGATGAGCACATACCTACATTGCATAACTAAATTATATGCACATACTGTCAGTAAAACACCTTCCTGTTCTCGTTTGAGCAAAACATTTCATGCACATCATTTTCTGTGTTAGAAACATATTTCTGATGCTGCTAATTGTTGTGCTGCTAGAAGTCAACACATAAAAAAAACCATTTAGTTTTCAGGTGATGAATGTGCAGCATTCAGAAAAATGTGATCTGTGGAATTGGACAATTCCAAGTGTTCAAAAAGAAGTGAGAGGGTGAAGAGCAGGGATTGTGGGAAAATAATAAGGGTTCTGTATCCAAATCACTTACCTGTGAATGGGTAAATGGGTTTTGAATTCAATATTTAAATGTTTATTCTTTGAACTCACCGCACACATCCTTAATGCAGAATTATGTGGGGCGGGGCTTGCTATAACTGGCCAATCAGCCCACAGTCAAATGCATTATCAGAAATATATGCTTAGACTTTAGAGCAAAGAACAAAATGACGACCTAACCTTAACCTGAATCAGGCAGCACCGTTACATGGAGATCTATGCACATATAGACTTATCATGAAGAATTCAAAATAAATCAAACCTGTTAGAATACTCATATGCAATCTGTTAACTGCAGGGGCTTAGGAATGATCAGAAAAGTGGGAGACACATTCAAAATCTCATCAGCCTCTATTCACATATACAACATGATTTCAAATGCCTAGTTGCCATGGATACACTCATTCCAGATACCATTTGAAAGCTTAAAAACAAATAACTAGCATTATTGTCAGTTTAATAATTAGACCTAAACTTTGTTGCAAATCATGTGACACTGAAGACTGGAGTAATGATGCTGAAAATTCAGTTTTGCCATCACAGGAATAAAACATGACAACAAAATAAAATAGAAAACAGTATACATATTTACTATACTATACTAAATATTTACTTTACTATACTAAACTAAACTTATTATATATTTTTTAAATTAAAGATTACTTTTCGTCTGTTGTTCAGCAGTATAGTGCACATGCTGTGCCAGGCGCAGCTTGGTTCATGAATATGAATTAATTTAAGTGATGCAGATGTTGGCAGATAAGCAGTGCATTACCATTAATCACTTGCACATTGTTCAGCCAAAGCAGCTGGTTGGCTTTGAAACAGCATATGTATCATTTTATCATTGAAAATTGTGCTACATGTCTTTAAAATGAATACAATGATATATTTTAGTGTGGTTTAAGTGTCTGAATACGTTTTTGGGTCACTGTATATCCACATCCTGAGTCAACACGCAAAATTCTTAAAATGCTCCATTATAGTTTTCTGCAGAATTTCAGTCTAAATATTAAAGCAAACCTTCACTGCCTCACATATTTGTGTTTTCATAATCTTTGTGGTTTAACAGCAGAGAATGAAGTGACGCTTTACTTCCTGCACTGAGCATTTTGGAACCACAGTGTCTTGACATGACAACAAAATAAAATAGAAAACAGTTATTTTAAATTGTAATAATTTTTTACTGTTTTTGCTATATTTTGATCAAATAAGTATAGTCCTGGTAATCATAAAAGACTACTTCTTTAAAAAACATTTTAAAAACATAATGAACGATACTGTGATATGTCTGTAATTTCATAATCTTTGTGGTTTAACAGCAGAGCATGAAGTGACGCTTTACTTCCTGCACTGAGCATTTTGGAACCACAGTGTCTTGGCCACATACACCAAATCTTCTCTAAAAAATGAGACACATAAATAATGAAGATATTCTCCATCACATGTACTAAGAACAAGAATAGTGTAAAAAGGATGCCATATTATTGCCACATGCAGCTATGCACCCACCTGATAAAACACACACACACAAACACACACACACACACACACACACACACAAACAAACAAACAAACAAACAAACCGCTTCATTATTACTTACTGCCTTGGGCTTGAAGGGAGGTTGAACTTCCATATTTTGCAGTTTTTCCCAGTCCATGTAGCGGAAGAAAGCGTGTTCCTTAATGTCTCGCTCTCCCTCCGGTCCACAGCCCAGACGCTTCCCTGGATGCTTGGTCATCAGCTGCCAACACGTAACAGTGTCTGTTAGTGTATGCAAGCATAGACAAGAATGTATAAAGTGTGTGTTTGTGTGTGTCGCCTACCCCTTTGCATATGGCCACTGCTTCTTTGGACATGGATTTGGGGTAAGACACATGATGCTCCATGATTGACTGGAAAAGCTCATCTTCATCCTCACCATCAAAAGGGGGCTAAAGAAGAGGAAGCACACAGGCATCACTGCATCTATCACAATCACATAATGCTCTGGAATTTAGACTCAGAATGATAAGGTGGCATTAGTTTACCTGTCCTGCCAGCATTTCATAGAGGAGAACTCCATAAGCCCACCAGTCAACAGACTTGCCATACGGCTGATATGCAATGATCTGTAACACAGGAGAGCATATATATGCCTCGTGCGCACTAACATAAGTGTAATAACATAAGACTCACATAACACACTCATATATCCACACACACCTCTGGGGCAATGTAGTCTGGAGTGCCACAGAAGGTTTTGGTTGTGGCCCCATCAAACATGTTCTCTTTGCACATGCCAAAATCTGCAATTTTAATGTGGCCTTCAGCATCCAACATCACATTATCCAGCTTCAGATCTCTATACAAACCCAGAAAACAAAGAGCAACAGTGTGTGTGAGCAACACACACACACACACACGCATTAGTAAATATTTGCTCTGACAACAATATGATTCTTTACTAAATAATGCAACGCATCACGAAATATGAGATTAAATTTCATTATTTTGGTATTTTAAAAATATGACTAACTCATATGATGTTGCTAAAAAGAACATTATTTTGTGTATTTGGTGTAATGAAATGTGTTTATGTGGTTTAAGGTTCAAAAAACACATTATTTTCCACATACTGTAGCTGTTCTGGAATGGTGTTGTAACTTAACTTAACCACTGATTTCTAGTCGTGCCCTCTTTTGGAAGGCCAAACAAAGTAGTTTCGCTTTCACAACTAAACACACAGCATCTCCACGACATGGCAGC